AAATTATGGAGAGGAGACGGATGGTAAAAGACAAAAACCTAACAAGGTACAAAGAACTCAACAGAGAAATTGAGAAAAAAAATAAATGTAGCTAAGAAAGAGTGGATGAAAGAAAAATGTAAAGAGGTAGAAGATTTACGAATGAAGCATAAACATAGAGAATTACACAGAAAGGTTAAAGAAGTAGCTAGAATATGGAAACCCAAACACTTATCGATTGCAACAAACAAGAAAAACCATATGAAATTAGACCCTGGAAAACAGAAATAAATATGGGAGCAATATCTTAAAGATTTGTTTGGAGATCAGAGAACAGAAGAGCCCCCAACACAGAACGGAAAATTAAACATTCTCACCGAAAAAGTTTTGCAGCAATAAAAGACACAAAGAACAACAAGACACCCGGCGAAGACCTAATAACAGCCGAACATTTTAAACACCTAAGTGATAATTATTGTCAGGAAATTGACATACCTCTGCAACATTATATATGAACATGACATAATACCGGATGACTGGCGAACATCCACATATATAGCTCTTCCTAAAAAACAAAAAGCAAGGAAATGTGAAGACCATCGAACTGTATCCTAATGAGTCATGCCGCTAAGATTTTATGCGAATAATTTATAACCGAATTCACAATAAGTGTGAAGAATACCTGAGTCGTTCTCAATATGGTTTTAGAAAGGGTACATGCACTAGAGAAGTAATTATGGGATCGAACACTGATGGCGAAAAGGTATCTTGAGGTTCAAAAATGGCTGTATATGTGCTTTGTCGATTATAGAAAGGCCTTCGACCGCATCAAACAGCGAAAATTGATTGAGGTGCTAAAAGAAGTAGGGTTGGATGGACACGACATAGCTATCATAAGAAATACATACTGGAACCACACAGGACGCGTTCGACCATAGAACGAAAACACCAAGTACATCAACATAGAACGAGGAGTGCGTCAAGGGTGCATTTTGACCCTCCATTATTTAATATATATGCCGAACATATAATTAGAGCTTCTCTTGAAGATCGCCCTGAAGGTGCCAGAGTCAATAGAATCATCATTAACAATATAAGATATGCCGATGACACCGTAGTATTAGCAGAAACAAAAGACCAACTAAAAATATTGATGAACATATTATCAGAAGAAAGTCACAGGCTGGCTCGGACATTAACTTTTCCAAAACCAAAATTCTGGTATTCCACAAAAACCCCCATTAACAAGTTACACCTAACATACAAATAAATGGTATCACTCTTCAGAGTTCCCAAAGCTTCATATACCTGGGCAGAGAGCTAAATAGTCAACTAGACCACTCAAAAGAAATTAAAAGACGCATTGAAATAGCAAGATCTGGTTTCATGAATATGCGTAAAATGCTCTGTAACCCCAAGCTATCAGTCTCAATAAGATTGAGAACACTAAAGTGTTATGTGTGGTCTCTATTACTATATGGCTGTGAGACCTGGACATTAAATCATGTAGATGTATGTACCGCGGAATGTTAAGAATAAGCTGGACCAGCAGAACTAAGAAGGAGAAGTACTGAGAATAATGAACACACGTCCTCATCTGGTCAATACTATCAAAATTAGAAAGACGTCATGTCAGGTCAGGACACATAATGCGCCATAGGGAATTTGAGCAGCTCCAGGTAATATTAGAAGGCAAGATTAAGGTAAAAGAGGCATAGGACGAAACAAAAAAACTTGTCTACGAAACATCAGAGATTGGACTCATACAAGAGGAAATGAATTAATTCATCAAGCCCAGAACAGAGAGAAATTTGCCATATTGATCGCCAACCTCAACAGAGAAGGCACTGAGGAGGAGGAGGATAGGTTCTACTTAAAATAACAAAGTTGGGTTATACTTCCGGTATAATCAGAAGTGCCACATTCAGGATAATATTATATTTTAACTCAGTGTCAGTCAAAACCTACAGCTTCGTAATTTGAGATGTATAACATAACTGTATCCGTCATTACTTTTAATCAAAACTTGTCGCGACACATCCTGTATACCATGCTGTCCATATGTATGGATTAAATTCATTTTTAGCGTTATTAAGTACTATGTGAAAAAAACCTGAAACAGGTCGATTTTTATTCTGAAATTGACAATTTACAGTATGAAAATAATATCCCCCTCCAGCACCCCCTTTGAATTATAAGCACCCCTTCAAAAATTTAAATAGCAAAGGGTGTCGTGTAGCACCTTGTTAGAAAGGGATTTTAGTACTCTGTTCAGTAATATTAAGTTTTTTAAGTTTGGTTCAAAAATAATCTAGAAAATTGATTTTTAAAATGTAAAACTTTGATAATGGATTTACCACAAAACCTTTACGTTGAATGAAGATAATAATGTCACATAATATTTAGAACGTATTTTCCCATGTACTTTAGAATTAAATTAAATGTTCAAAATGACCACTATTCACTTTTTGGCAATACCCGAGGCGATTTTGGAATTCGTGTACAACATTTTGTACGACTCCGGGAGTTATTTTGTTAATTTCTTCCGTTATCCCAACTTTTCAATCAGCAATACTGTTTAGTCTAGTAAATTATACTTTAAATTTTAAATAACCATAAGAAGTAATCGTGAGGAGTCAAATCGGGGATCTAGCCGGCCATTCGATTGTTCAACATCTTCCAATCCACCTATTGGGAAAAACCTCGTTTAAATAATTTCTAATTATAAGTACAAAATGCGGTAGAGCTCCACCTTGTTGGTAGTAAAAAGGTCCATCTATCTAATTTGGATGATTAACATTAGGAAAAAATCTTCGTAATGTAGGCACTAAAAAGTTAATAAAAAAATCTAGATAAACCTCATCATCAACTGCGCCCTCAAAAAAAAAGGACCAATAATTTTATTGTTAATAATACCAGCCCACTCGTTAATTTTTTAGGATATTGTGTGTGAGTCTCACACACTTAGTGAGGATTTTCTCTGCTCCAATATCTACAGTTCGGTTTGTTAACCGTTCCGTTTAAATGAAACGTCGCTTAATCAAAAAACAACTATTTTGTTTATGAACTGCAAATCTGCGTTCATTCTGTCCATCATCATTTCACAGAATTATTGCCTTCTATCAGGATCATCTTCATTTAACTCCTGAACCAACTGAACTCTGTAAGCGAGGTATTTTTCTTTATGTAAAACTCTCAAAATAGATGATTTACTTACATTATTGATAGCGGCAAGTTCTCGAGTTGTCTTATGCGGATTTTCCTCAATCTCTTTTTCATCAATAAATTTATTATTTCTACCGGGTTTTTCAATATTTTTTACATGTCCAGTATAACGAAAGTGCTTTGCAATTGTGCTAACTGTAGACTACGAAACTTGTTGACCAGGGTATTCACTATACCCTGAGCATTTTGAGCTCACAGAATATTTCACAAACCTCCTTTTGAGCTCTTGTTTTATTACCACAACTAATCATAGTTAACATGTCTATTCTGTTCTCGGACAAATGAGCCATAATTAAATTTAATACACGCACAAATATGTAGATGTTGAATCGGGTTATGTCTTCGCACAGGAAAAAATATGTATGTATGTATGTATGAAAAAAATGTATGTTTATTCCTCTAACTGTAAAAAATTCCTCTGATTGTTAAAATAGTTTATCTTAAATATGTCTGGCTAATTGGCTCGGCCAAGGCCATTAAACTAAAATAAAAAAAAATATATTATACTCACGTCTTCTAGTAACCTTAAATACCAAAATGACAGCAGCCTACTAGATTCATATCAATTGTTTATTTGGCTTTTTGACTAATATTTTATTATCTTTAAAGTTTTCCTAATGTTTAGCAGAACAGATACGAAAATATCTGATTTTTTCATATAGTAGTATATAATATAGTACAAAATATAGAAGTATAATTTAATAGACCAGGCAATAAAGTTAGGATAACGGAAGAAATCAACAAAATAACCCCCGAAGTCATACAAAATGTTGTATGACAATTCCAAAATCGCCTCGGTTATTGTCAAGAAATGAATAATAGTGGTCAAGTTGAACATTTAATTTATTATTGTAAAAATTAATTTTGTAAGTTATAATTGCACACACTCAAAAAACTTTACATTGATGAACATAGGACTAAAATCCCTTTCTAACAAGGTGCTACACGACCCCCTTTGCTATTTAAAATTTTTGAGGGGGTGCTTATAATTCAAAGGGGGTGCTGGAGGGGGATATTATTTTCATACTGTAAATTGTCAATTTAAGAATAAAAATCGACCTGTTTCAGGTTTTTTCACATAGTACTTAATAACGCTAAAAATGAATTTATTCCATAGATATGGACCACATGGTATGCGTATACACGTAACATTCAAAACGTTAAAAAATAAACTGTGTGTTCAATACTGACAAAGTTTATTCCACGATTGGTAAATAGTAAAAGTTAATTTTGTGCAGGAATTTATTTAAAAAGATACCTTTTTTATAAAGAAGTTTGGAAAAATTTCCACATTAATAACTTAAATTACTCTTTTTATTTTATAGACTCTATATACTATCAAAGTTAAGTTTGATCAAAAGCTCACTTGATATGACTAAAAGAGCCATCATTAAAACTTTAAAGTTACTTTAAAATGTAAATAAACTTTGGTTATCCAAAGCAATCTTTTAAATTATTATGAAACTGGCCGCAACTTGAAAGTAATACAAAAAGTAAACATATTCGACTGTGTCTATGGAATTTGAATCTTGAAATTTAATTAATTATTTAAACATACAACACTAGTTTAAAGAACTCGTAAAAATATGCTGACTCAAATGTTTTACCCTAAGTACCATGTATATATAATTTTAAAATAATTAATGCCATTTGATTATTGCTTGATAGAGTTATTGCATGTTTGAGCATTCAAAAACATTTGTTAGAATGGTGATAAAAGTATATGGAGGATTTCCTTTAACACATATAGCTACTGTATTTTTCAATTGTATGAGTAACAACACTTATGTATTTAGGCACCAGAATGGCATAAGATGTCCGTACCAAAAAACTTACCCGATCAGGATTTGAGGATAAAAATTGCATGTAGAATGGATAAGCCTCTTAATATGAAGCATTGTGGTTATCTGTATGCGATTGGAAAAAATGTCTGGAAAAAATGGAAAAAGCGATATTACGTATTAGTACAAGTTTCACAATATACCTTTGCCATGTGTAGTTATAAGGAAAAGAAATCAGAACCTTCTGAGATGATGCAACTTGATGGATATACTGTTGATTACATCGAAGCATCTAGTGGTAAGATTATTTTTTAAATTACAGATTGATTTATTTCATCCATTCCACAAATGATGTGTACCATAAATAATAGATATATGTCTTTTATTTGAATTGAGTAAAAAGCTGCTATTAGGTATGTATGCTTGGGGTTTTCTATAACTCTTTTTAAATGCTGCTAATAATACAATGCGTTTTCCTGTACCGTTACATTTAGATTTTGGGCTACGAAGCTACTATTACATCAAAAACTATTATTTTAAAATATTAGTTGCCACTTGAAAAATCTTGTGGACTATAAATAAGTAATTATTATATACCACTTTAGAAGAATGGTTGCAGATGCCAAATTTTGGAATTAATTCTCTTAAAGGAAATAAGGAAGAAAAAAATCTGATATTTTCTGATGTTTAAGAACTTTATTTGATGCTCATGTCTTTCATATATGCGTGTTTTAACTCTTTCTCAACTATTTTCTGAACAACAAAACGCAAACAATTTTTGCGTAGTTGACCAAAGGCATCTGGTCACAATTTTTTATAATGTTTTAGTTGTAACGTAATTATTGACAAGTGATAATGGGTGTCATTTTGGAAAATTTTTAAATGGGATCATATGGCAAGTAATATATAATTTAAAAAATCTTGTATTACTCACCATCTTCTTAGACTTGTGTTAGATTATATGAGGAATTCTACAAAAATTCGCACCTTAACTGAAGCCAAATATGTTGATATTGCAATTTGCTGCCCGTACCCCGCAGTAACAATTTTTTTCTGTAGGTTGATACCAAAAAATATGTTTTTAGTAGTGAAGTAGTTAATTAGTTAGGTACCAATTGCTTCGTCTTGGTCTCCAGAAGGAACTCTGACCCTTTGAAGAGCAAAGAAACACCTGCTCAAAGCGTGGCAAGCGGTAATTCAGTCACTAAAATCGACCTTTTTTTAAATTTTTTCGCGATTATATCCGAAAATAGATTAAAAGATACCTATAGTTGAAGCACACATACATATTACGTATCAATCGCTTTGTCTTGATCCACAGAATGAATTCTGACCCTTTGAAGAGCCAAGAAACACCTGCTCAAAGCGTGGCAAGCGGTTATTCAGTCCCTAAAATCGACGTTTTTTTTTTTCATTTTTTCGCGATTTTACCCGAAAATAGATTAAAAGATACCTCTATAGTTGAAGCACACATACATATTAGGTACCAATCGCTTTGTCTTGGTCCCCAGAATATACTCTGACTATTTCAAGAACCAAAAATAGCTCAAAGCGTGGCAAACGGTTATTCAGTCCCTAAAATCGACGTTTTTTTTCATTTTTTCGCGATTTTACCGGAAAATCAAGTTAAAATGACTTCCGTAAGTGAGGTTCATCTACCTATCGGAAGCTGGTGACTTGATCCTCAGTATGTAGCCTGATCGTCAATTTCTGTCCACTATTGATGTTGAATGAAGCTGCAAATGACCATTTGGGCTTCCTCTTGGACACAGAAAATGTTGCAACTATTGCATTGTTAGCGGCTATCTTCAGACATCTGAAATTCTTGAATTAAAACTACAATGCAAGAAAAAACTTGCTTGTGAACTCCTGTCGGATATTAGAAGTTTTTCTAAAAAGATTGAATTTTTTCTAAGAATATTAAGGCAGAACTTTTGCATTTTCCTCTCCTTAAATCCGTTTGTGATAGTAATAAAGATATTGATGTTACATAGTCCTTACGTTTTATTAATAAACTTGATTTGGAATTTAAAAAACGATTTGCTGATTTCCACAAAATTAAAAAATGTGTGCAACTGTTAAGCAACAGTTTTTCACTTAAGCCTAATGGTATATGGACCAGCGAAGCAGCAGACGCATTCTATCTACCTATCTAATCAGCCTTAAACGCCCACTCTTGGACGCCTCCCCTGTTAATCTCCATTGGTCTCTATTTTGGGCGATCTGCATCCAGTCCTTTCCTGCCGTTCTCTTAAGATCGTCAGTCCATCTCATCTGTGGTCTTCCTCTTTTTCTTTTCTTTTCCCATGGTCTCCAGTGTAGAATTCGCTTATTCCATTTTCATCTTTTTGCCGGAGAGTGTGACCGGCGAAGTTCCATTTAAGTTTTGCAACCTGTCTTGATACATCGTTCACCTTTGTTTTTTCTCTGATCCATGAGTTTCTTTTCCTGTCTTTAAGACCGATACCCAGCATCTGTCTTTCCATTGCTCTTTGTGTTTTGGATATCCTGTCGATGTTCTCCTTTGTGAAAGTCCATGTTTGTGAGCCATATGTGATAACTGGTAAAATGCACTGGTTGAATACTTTCGTTCGCATATATTAAGGGAACTTTTTATTTTTTAGAATATATGATAGTTTACTAAATGAGGCCCATGCTAGTCTAGTTCTTTTTTTTATATCTTCTGTTTGATTGTCCCTGTTCAGCTTTATTATCTGTCCTAGGTATATGTATTCTGCCACCTGCTCTAATTTATTCTGTTTGACTACTATTTCTAATTGGTCTTATTGGTTTGTCATAGTCTTGGTTTTACTATAGTTCATCTCTAGACCTACCTCTGTCGCTTTTCTATCTAGTTCCTCAACCATCTTCTGTAACTTTTCCTTCTTATCTGTTATCAGGACTATATCGTCTGTATATCTCAAGTGGTTCAAGAGCTCTCCATTTATTCTTATTCCGTATGTATCCCATTCTAATTTTTTAAATATGTCTTCCATAGCCTAATTGAACAATTTTGGCGATATTGTGTCTCCCTGCCTGATTCCTCTTTCGAATTTTATTGGTTATGTAGCGTGTTCGTTCGTCAATTTTATTGTGGTACTCGCATTTTTGTATATGTTTGTTATTAGGTCCGTGTACCTGTAATCAATTCTGCCGTTCTGTAGTGAGTTTTTGATGGCCCAATGTTCTATGCTGTCAAACGCCTTTCGGAAGTCTATGAATGCCATGTATAATGGGATTTGATACTCGTTCGACTTTTCAATCAGTATTTTTACTGTTATCAGATGGTCGCTAGCACTAAAACCCTTTCTGAATCCCGCTTGCTCTCTTGCTTGGTATTCGCCAAGCTTAGTTGTTAGTCTATTTGTCATGATCTTCGTTAGTAGTTTAAATACAACACTTAGTAATGTTATGGGTCTATATTTTTCTAAGTTCTTTCGGTCACCTTTTATTGAACATTAATAGTGTCTCCGCATCGTTCCAGCTATCGGATATTTCTTTTGTGGTCAATATTTTGTTCATGAGGATATGTAGGGCTTTTCTAGTTGTTTTCCCTCCTCTCTTCAGCATCTTTGCAGTTATTCCATCTTTTCCAGGTGACTTATGGTTTTTTAATTCTTGAATTGCTTTTTTGATTTCTGTTTTACTTATTTCTGGTTGTAGGTCAGAGTTTATATTTTTTATTTTTGTGTTTAATTGTTTAAGAATTTCTTGCTGTGGTGTACCTATAGGTGCGTATAGAAGACGCATTTCGCAACAAAAATTTAATAAACAAAGATGGGAGAAAAATCAATATAATAGCTTTATAATCATCTTTTTCCTTGAGTTTATTTTCCTCTCCCCAAACGGTTACAACTACTGGAACGTATTTGGCAATCCACCCCCCTCACCCCGGTTACACCACTACCTGCTTTAGTGCTAACTGGTTTTCGAAACGGACCCTCAGGGAATATAACTGGTAAACCCTGGTTTAGTGGATTGAAAAACAATCTTAGTCCAAGAAACTTAATGTAAGGATGTTCAAACCTTATAATTATCTTAGGATAATTAGATAATTAGAGTGACATAAGAGCTTTGAAACAATATGTCACATTTCATACATTGCCATTTAATAAAAATGTGAGAAATGCCAAATTTTTAACATGTCAGAAGCCATCAAATTACACAAGACTATAGAAAAATGACAGGTTATAGAAACATGAGAACGAATATCCTTAAAAATGATACATGGAATATAATTAGTGATGTGAAGAAGGTATTGTTTCAATAGACCAATTAAATCTAACAACTATCTAGAGATGTGAGAGTAGAACTGTAATTTGAAATGAGGAAAAAAGGTATTGTATTTATATGGGATAACACCACAATTAATTGTAATATATATATTACGTTTTACATTTGTTTTGGTATATAAGTAATTTATGATGGCACTATATAAACACTAAAGATGGCAAATATATGGGACCAGATAATCAAGACCAAAACTCATTTAGAGGTTATCGATATAATGGATGAACTCTTTGATATTTCAGACTGCCTTAACAACTAAGATAAACAATAATAAGCGATTTCTGGCTTACAACACCTAAACCGACGTCTAATAGATTTGCTAGCTTAGATGAAGTATCTAATGAGACCAACCAAAACAGATCTGGTGAAAATAAAAAATGTATTCAACCCCCACCCATAATTATTACAGATATAGGTGATATATGACATCTTACACATTCGTTAGAAACAATATACCCACTGGGATATTCCATTAAATGTCTTTATAACGACCAAATAAAAATCCAGCCCACAACCTCTGAACATTACCGAAACATAACCAAAGCACTCAAAGAAAAAAATACCCATTATGATACCTACCAAACAAAATAAGAAAGAACGTTTCAATGGGTGCTTCTTAATATGCATCAAATAGCAGGTAAAGATGCTTTAAAACATGAGTTAGAAAAAATGGGACATAAGGTAACCAACACTGCTAATATACAAGAATGGATCCAAAACAGTTCTACTTTTTTAAAAGACATATATGAAGTAAGAGTACTCCAAAACATGACTTTATTTTTGAACCACCACATCCCAAGCGTTAGGTACCCCAATGTACCAATTGTCAACGCTAAGGAGACACAAAAAAATCTACCACCTTCCTGCAAGATGCGTAAAGGGTGCAAGTATGATTTACATGATTTACAATGCGATATTTTACTGAGTGTAACGACTACATTTCATTACGATTTTTGAGCTTATTGCTCAAAGCTTAATTCAAAACTTTTGAATCATCTCTTTCAATCT